GTAGAGGTAAGTGGTGGAGTCACCATCCCTGGAGGTGTTCCAGAAACAACCGGATGTGGCACTTAGTGCTATGGTTCAGTTGACATGCTGGTGTTTAGTCAAAGGTAGGACTGGATGATCTTGGAAGCCTTTTCCAACCTTAATGATTCTGTGATTACAAAAGAAATACTGTATAAAACGTTCATTATCATGGCTAGGCTTCGCGAATGAAGATTTGGGGGTATAAAACATTACTCTAAGTGAATTGGTATTTCTCCCTTTCTTTCCCATGCTGGGTATCTCGAAGTATCATAAAAGTCTGCATAACAATGTTTTCTCTAAATCTACCACAAAGCTACTCAACCTGGTCTGTAGGTGATACCTGTCCTTGCCAGCTGGTAAACATTACAAGACCTCTTATTTGCGGAGCACCATAGTCTAATAAAAAATATAAGAACTCAGGCAATTAAACTCTTCAGTTTAATGAAGTGGACCACACTTCAAATCACTACTTTTGAGAGACATTCTGAAAACCTGGAGTTTCTGTTATTGTTATAACAATGACAGAGGTGTTGTATTAGCACACAATAGCTCTCTTCTTATCTCATTTTATATATATATATATATATATATATACAGAAACATATATGTGAATCTATGTTTACATATTATAAAAATAGCTTTACATATTTCTTAAAATCTGGCCTACTTGAAACTGAGTTGCTTTTTGTGTATGTCTGACCACTTCAAAGGGGGTAACAGAAAGAAGAAGTTATTATCTAGTATTCTTGTATTTAATAATGATTTTACTGTATGGTGCTCAGCTCCGAAACAAGTATAGATAAAAGCTATAAGGAATAAAGAACAGCAAGGCAGATGATCTGGACAGCCAAATAATACCTGTGTGTTCTCTGTTACAGAAGGTTCATAATACAGAACTGTAAGCAATGGATATGTCTCTCCCTCCTGAAAAGGAGATTAAAGGAATCCATATTACTTTTATCTTTTCATTATTGTTATTTTAATATTTTAAGCCCCAAATTCAAGCTGACTTTAAGCAACTTCTAAAGATATATGGGGCTGGGCAGAGGAAGGATTTTCAGAGACTGCTTCATAGCTTTTAAAGTTATTTCTATGACAGGGATTGCAGCCTGCAAAGATATTAAATACTGTCACCTTTTCTGGTTTGATAATCAGTGACTGATTTCTCCTCTTCCCCCTCCTTTTACAAAGACATTATAAGTTTTAATACCGGGTATTCCAAGACTACAAATATGACCATTCAGACAGGATATTTTTGGCCTTTGCTAATTTCCCCAATTGCTTTTTGAAAATCAATATTTTTTAATTGGTCACTTGAGCTTTTTTCAGTGACGTTGAACCTCTGATGCATGTCACTGAAGCATTTTCCAAACATTGTAGGCGTCATGCAGCAATTTTAGCATAAAAAGAAGAGTATAAGTAGAGATGGCGGGGGAGCAAATTACATTTTGTATATATAGTATTAAATGCTTCCATTAGTTGCCATAGGGATGGGCAGAAGTTGGTCTGAAATGACAGCTTTTCTGATGCTTGATGTGTTTAAAAAGAAAACACTGGGGGGAGGGGTTTTTATTGTTATTATTACCCTGGGATACTTTTATAGGGGAGGGGAAAATATTAAAGTCGTATTTCTCAAAAAAGATGCAGGGTGTCTACCTTAACAAACCAGGCATTACCTCTGAAGAGACACTGACCTCTACAAAACATGCATCTTTGTAGCTTCGGGGCTGTAATTCCACAGCTGCTCAGAGCTTCATATTCCCTTTTGTTGTGCAACACAGCAGCTATCACCACAACCTCTCCTCCTGAGCAGTGTCTGTAAATCTGCTGCACTAGTAACCCACGGAAAACCACGTCTTGCAATTACTGCTGCACACACCTCAATTACAACAGAACTGGTAAAACCTGTTTGTCAGACCAGGCTTTTCGATTTGCTCACTTTAACATCCACTTGGCTCAAATATTGGAAATCAACAGAAAGCAAGCCCTGCTTTTATAGTTACCCAGTGAGCTTCCAGTTGATCATGTCAAAAAGCTAAGAGGTGCAAGTCAGTATCTCAGCATGTGAACTAAGCCTGCAGCCTTCAGATGTTAAAGCTGTCATTCATGGCAAGCCTGACTAGCAGTAGGATGCCGGCTGTGCCTTTGCTGGCATTCAGGTTCCTGGAAATTTTGTGTGGATGGTTATGTGTGTCATACAAGGGACACTTGCTGGTTTTGCTAACTGAAAAATATAAATGGTTCAGAAATTACTACTACAGAATATGCAGATGAGAGTCAATAAGGAGGTTGAATGTAACAACTTTCAGTGTCTCAGAAGGTAATCTGTAAGAGAAGGACCTACCTCATAGGGAATGAAACTGAGGCATTGTGCTTACTGAGTATAACCTAAATTCACTGGACTTTCGACTGATTTTTAGGGAGTTTTTAAACAAGCACCTGTAAAATTATTATTTTTCTTAATCTAATTTCTAGGCTGTGCCACAAGTACCTTTTTTCTTCATTCCCCCAAGGACAATGTTTTATTAAAATTACTCATCAGCCTGAGGGCCACTGAGGCTAAATATTTGAATGTTATTTTGTGAAGACTACCCATAGATCATCATGTCATTTGTCAGGGCAGTTATTTGCAGTCTACCTGTAGACAATGTTCTCTCAGTTCGTGGGGATACACCTCACTTACATGGCTCTAGTGCCTCTAATAATTAGTGAAACTTGGGCAACAGAATAAATGCATAGTTGTTCTTCGCAATGGGGTTGGCTGAAAACAGGTGCAACCCGCATAAAACACTGGACCTGTCCTTGGCTGCTGGTTTTAGAAACCATTTCCAGTCTTCTGTTGAAACATCTGCTCTTCTGTCAAGCTGAAGAAACTGGAGGAGAGGATCTGCATTAGCTGTTCCATAGCGGAGTGCAAATTTGGTGTTAGTCCTATGCATTCCTGCTGAAGGTGTAATGGTTTGCTCAAAGGCAAGAAGAAATTCTTTGAAATCACGAACAACACGAAGTTTGAAGTAGTCTCCTGAGCCTGCAGTGTATAGTGAAGGAGGAGGAGGATGTGGGCAGAAAGGCATGTCTAAGGAGACAGGAGAACTTGTGTAGCTCCTATCATGCTATTGGAACATATAGCTGCAATACATATTCCTCTTTTAAGCCACACTCAGTACCAGGCAGAAGCAACTTGACAGCACTACAGTTTCACAATCATTAAGAAAGAATTAGGGTTCTTCTGGCTTGTTATCTTGCTTGTCATTTTTGACCTTGCATAGACATGCATTATGTAGGATCAAATCCTTCAAAAAAGTATGGAAAACACAGCAGTATGTAGCTGCATATACTTACACATACAAAATGCAGAAAAATACCCAACTTATGCAGATAAAAAAGAATTTCATCCAAACTAAGTTAAAGGTACATGCAAACTTCAGAATAACTCTAATAGTGAGGTACAATAATATATGTCTGGGAATTCCCAAGGTATCTGGATGACTTTGTCAATTACATTCACCTGTTTCATTACAATTCCTATAAATGTTCCCATTGCAAAAGATATGGTTCCTCAGTAGCTCCAGAGCAACATTGGGTTGGAAACATAAGACAAGTGGATGTTTCTTCTGAAGCTCTCATTGTTGATCAGTTACACCAGGGAAGTTAATGTTAAAAACCTCAGGCCAAATCATAACAGAAATTGATGCAGTTTTTGGAACATAGCACAGTATGAAAACAGAAAAGAAGATTGGGAGCCCCCAACATAGGAAGGACACAGACTTGTTGGAGCAAGTCCAGACCAGGCCACAAAAATGCTGAAAGGGCTGGAGCACCTCCCCTGTGAAGACAGGCTGAGAAAGTTGGGTTGTTCAGCCTGGAGAAGAGAAGGTTCTGGGGAGACTTTATAGCAGCCCTCCAGTACCTACAGGGGGCCTGCAAGAGGGATGGAGAGGGGCTTCTGACAAGGGCATGTAGTGATAGGACAAGGGGCAATGGCTTTTAACATTAAGAGGGAAGGTTTAGATTACGAAGAAATTCTTTACTATGAGGGTGGTGAGGCACTGAATCAGGTTGCCCAGAGAAGCTGTGGATGCCACATCCCTGGAAATGTTTAGGGCCAGGTTGGATGGGGCTTCGAGCCATCTGCTCTATGGGAAAAATGTCCCTACCCATGGCAGAAGGGTTGGAACTAGATGATCTTTAAGGTCCCTTCCAACCCAAACCATTATATGATTCTATGATTTTAATGTAAATTATTCAGAGACTGGCATTTGTATGTATTATTTATCTATGTATGAACAGTGCCCTATGAATATTAAAACAAATCATGTTACTGAGAACTACACCTTGTAGATTTATTAATAGTTATGTCTTTGCCTTATACAAAGTCAATTGGCAAGAAGTCATTTGATTTTGTTCTAGCTAGATTGCAAATCTTAGATTTTTATTGAATGTAATCATGTTTACTGTATTTATGTCCAGCTGTTCAGTGACTTTGGAATTGTTTATCCCATTTAAACCACCAACCAACTGAAACCAGATTTATGAATGATCCCCTTCCAGCACAATTTCTCAAACAATATCAGGAGACATTAAACATACATTTGTTTCCAGTTTCCCTGTGCTGCTTTTTCCTTTCTTTCAATGAAGGTTAAGACTGAGGTCATTAACACTTGTGTTAGTGCAAATTAAAGGCATTCCCTATTATGTGTTGGGCCAGCCATCCTGTCCTTTGCATGGGGAATAGCTCAAGCTTTGGTGACTGCTAAGTCCCAGGAGGGCACAGAGAACGGACGATTTTGTTGTCTGTCTTTGTTTCCAGCTGCCCATTTAGATCCTTTTAAAGTTCCTTTGCCAGAACTCCTAGAAAAGTGAGCAGGAAGTCCAAAGGGATGCCTCCACCTCCACAACTGTTGCATGCTCGTGGGGTACTGGTGGAATGTTTACCCCAAAGATCTATTTTACTAGTTTCCTCCACTTTCCCTGCTACAGATAGCTCTGTGTTTCTCTACTGCCACCAAGTCACTCGTAGGACTGAATTAGGGAAATTTTCCTTTCTTCCATTCGTGTGTAGTTCGTTATAGAAAAAAATAATCTGGTCATGTAATTGAGGAAAATGACGAAGGTCTATTAATGCAGAAGTATTTCTGCCTGTATAAGGACTGGAGGATTAGGTTTTAGCTTACGTGCACTCCCAAATTCTCTCTTCTCTGTTTTTCATATAATTATGACTTCAACCTTTCCTCCCTCAAATGAAGACATATCAAACTGCCACACGTCATCTTAGAACAGACTTTTACTATGCAGGATAGCTAACCTTTGTTCTCTATGACAACACTTTTAAGATTTTTTCAACTAGCAACTTCTTGAACTTCTTGTTCACGACACAGGATGCTGAAGCTGCCTCCTTTCAAGCTCATCTCTTCTGCGTTGGAATCTGTGCAGTTCTTGCTTTGGAGACAAATAGCAAGAAGGTGACCCTGATGCTACGAAAACACAAATCAAATCTTCCACTGATTTCAAGAGCCAGAGCTACCTTTATGTTCTCTTCAATGTTTCTGGATATTGATTTTTTTTTTTGGCAGAAGTATTATAAGTAAATACCATGGCTCTGGAAAGATCTGTTCTACTGGACAGGTCTCTTAAAATTCCTTCTTAAAATTCTTTTGGTTTCAGCCTGAGGACCCCAAGATAGAGTTGAACAAAATTTGTAGAAACTTCTGAAAACATCAGTGTTAGTCTTTCTCTACTGTAAAGCATCTGTAACTCTCATTTGAATATTTTTGTGTTTTATTTGTTGTGTGCATCATAATATCTATTTTGCCTTACAAATAAGAAATAGAGAACATATTTGTGTCTTAATTCTGCTAGCAATC